CTCCATAACTCGAAATTATTACAATATGAGGATTCAAATTATTACAATGTTGACTTTGAACGTGAACAAAAGCAATACAACTAAAGACACAAATCTCAAGGTCTTTAGGATAAGAACTGAAAGATGAAAGGTAGACATGGACAAAATATGACTACAACCATTCAAAACATGACTTCACAACCTATTGATTAAGTAAGCAACTATTAAAATTGATTCTCCTCAATATGATTTTTGCATTGTCATAAAAAATAACAAAGTTTTGGCAAGAGATGTCAGTTTTCTTTTTCTACAAGTCCATTTTGTTCTAAAAGTATCTACACGTGTCAATTCATAAAAAACACCTTTTTCTTGTAGAAATTGAAAAAAAAAATTAGTTCACATATGCTCATCTATTATCTACCCTTAAACATTTAATTACTTGTTCAAATTGAGTTTGAATTAAGTGATTAAAATTTACAAATAGTTGAGTAACTCCTATTTTATCCTATATAAAAAGGGTCTATGTCACATGTGTGCAATCATCAATAAAGGATACAAACCATTTAACATCATAAAAATTAGCAATACGAGCAGGTCCCTAACATAAAAATGGATAAGATGGAAAGGTGCACTGCTTTTTTTCTTTTTAATTATTTGGAAAATTAACACAATGGTGTTTAGCAAACTGATAGACATCACTTTAAAAAGTACTCAACTGATTTTTCTAAAAATAAAGAAGGAAACATACTTTTGCAATCTAAAAGGTAGATGACCTAAATGCTTTTGTTGAAGCCAAATTTGAGAAGAGTCATACTTTGAAGAATACTAGTTATAAAACTTGACTCTTCCTTTTTCAAAATTGTTTTAGACTTTAGATTTCACTAAAGGAAAGTAATGTAATCATCTCTATTCTTTAGCAACTCTAATCGTCCTCCCTAAAAAAGATCACGGAAACATATTGAGATGAAAAAAATGTTACTACATAAATTAGATTAGATCACAAGTGATAGGTGAGTTTATGAATGGAAATAAGATTATGGGGAGCTAAGGAACATGAAGAACACTTTTTTAATGAAAGAAAGGTAGTAAAATGAATATTACTAGAATAAGAATGGGAGTCTGTGAACTATTAGCAATTGTAATGTGATGTGCACCAAATAAAGTGGAATATGAAGTAAAAGAAGAAATGTTAGGAGTCATATGATAGAAGCATCAGAGTCAATTATCCAAATATCCTTAGGTACAAAACATGAGGTATTAAAAGAAGATAAACCAAAATTCTTACTAGTCATGGCAAGAGGGACACATGAGTCATCCATAGTGAGAAACACTTATATTTTAACAAAGAACTTATAAAAGTTGAAAAAAAAAAAACATCTAAATAGCTACAGTTTGAGCAACAATAGGTCAAAACTACCAGAGAAGGTCCCAACAAACAAAATGACATTTGCGGCAAGACAAATAATGGTTAAGAAGGAAGCACATGGCTTTCACATGCCAATGAGAGCTTATGTGGTGTGGTAGTAGTGCATAGAGACTTTGTTGGAGATGAATTTTTTTAGGTTTGGCCGATCTTGGTTGTGCGCTTCGGATGGTGTGGTTTATGGATTTGATTGGTGTCCAACATTACTAATAGTGGTGACAAAAGTTGTAATACTCTACTTTTTAAATTCTAAAAATAAATAATAATTTGTTGCAAACCAACGAAATAAATCGATTCTTTATTAAAACAAGTAGTATAAATACTTTGAAATTGAAACATTTTTGCTCGAATATATTCGCAATGAATTTTTAAAAAAAATAATCAAAATTTAACTGCACTTTTATGATAACAACTAAATTTAAATAATATTGAGTGTCCAATTATTAAGTTTAAGTTGTATTTAAAAGTATACTTTACAAACTGTTAACTCAAATACATATTTGATTTAGAATACATCATTATATGACCAAAATAAGCTAAATTTTTTTTCTTAGAGCAGTTCTGATCCATGCTAAAACGTTGAAAGTTTGATTCTAATTGTCATTTATGTTCCCTGAAATATTTTATAAGGATGAGCTCATTCCTTATCATTAAAACATAAACAACAGATATATTTTAATGCATAAGTAAATCTATTTACATCTTTATATGCAAGGATAAGTACATCATTCTCTATAATAATATCTATATCGAACTAAAATAAAACACCATATCACTAATTTATGAGTTAATCACATCATCACGTTCATACACACTAATAACATATTCAATTCACTTCATTATTAGTTCAATAATTTCTCATACTATGTGATCACATTTCATGGTTGTCTCTAACATTTCATGAGGTCTTACACAATAGGTGAATAGCTGCCGGTTAACCCATGCATATGGATACAAGTGTGTGGCCAAATGTTGCATTCGCATTTCATAAACGTGTAAACTCAAGAAAATGTTATCTATCACCCTACATTTCTCCTAAACGTCCATAATTGGCTCCGTATTCCATACTCCCAATGTATCGTTGTGGTTATTCATACTAATTCCTTTATCATTAATCCATATACCATTCACACATCAGTATGTTATAATACATGTGCTATAACCATATAATTTAATGTATTACGATACATATATTGTAAATACACCCGTCAATGTATCACAATACCTGTATTATAATCACATCAATTAATAGGCTACAATTCACATGTTATAAACACACATCTCAAAATTATGTAATCTCACCAAAGCTTAAGATTTCCAAATTCAATTCTATACAACATTTCAAAACAATGTGTATTACACATATATTCTTCATAGATAATATTATTTATTTTAACTCATTCTCAACATACTTCACTTCGCTGAACAAGATCAATAATTATACTAACATGTCATACACATATGTAATCAAGTTATTAGTCAAACAATTTGCCAAATGTCAGATACCTCTGGACTCAGCTCAATTCTGGTATTACAACCAATTATTAAGTACACATCAATCGAAAATCACCTAAGATCAGAGAAACATGCATCATTGAACTATCATAGCACCTAAACTTTATTCTAATATATATATATATATATATATATATATATATGTATCCATAACAAGACAGAACAACATCGAGGTTTCAAAAATATGAATATTTGCTACATCTTAATGATGGGATCGAACTCTCCTTACCTCAATATGAAGATCTAGAGGGAGTTTGATGAAGAGGATCATTTAAAACGAAAGTTCTCTCTAAACAACACAAGATAACCTTTAAAATAGAGCTTGAACAGATTCGAACAAAAAAATCTAAATTTAAACTCAAGAAAACTTACATAGAGTTGCTTAGATTAAGTGTCCAAGCTTGGATTCGGCTAATAATCAGAGTTTGGAGGAGATTTTTCGAAGAAAATGGAGTGGGAATTCAGAGAAAATGAAGAAACACAAAATGGGGATAAAGAGAAATGAAATACGTCACTCTAAAAATTTCTTGTATAACCCTCAGTTCGCACACTCTCGCTTGAGTGAGAGAGAAATTCTTGCTTAAGCGAGGAATAACTTGCTTAGGCAAGACACATCTCGCCTAGGTGAGCTGTGCAGATAATGGTTCCTTACACATTTTCTGATATTCTCGCTTGAGCGAGGAGGTGTCAAGAGAGTTCCAGATTTTCCTGCGACTCCTCGCTTGAGCGAGGTGATGATTAAGGTGACCTTATCTATTCTCGCATGAGCGAGGCTAATCTCGCTTGAGCGAGAATGCTCCAAAAAAGGATGGTCCTGACCATTCAATCTCACCTGAGCGAGGTATGTCTCGCTTAACCGAGATTCTCCTGCATCAGAACTCTACTAAACACTTAAAATCTTCCTTAATATTCTCCAACATTATCTACATCAATTAATAATCCATCACTAATCACTATCTAAAAATGGGAATGTTACAAAAGTGATAGCGATGGTCATAAAGGAAAAAAAATATCTAACCACAATGAATGTGTAGGTGAATGTTGTAATAAAGACGACTACTAGAAGTTGGATGCTGTGATAAAGGTGGAAAGATTTTGAGTGTGCGGAAGCCAAGACTCCAAGATTAGAGATGAATTGTATTCCGTCATTATACATTATTGTTTACATGTATGTATACGAGTTGAATCTTAATATTTACATAAGATAATATTCTAAATTATCTTCTAATAATGATAAAGATAATGATAAAGAATTACAAAGATAATAATAATAACTAACCATATTATTGAAATTCTAGGTTATCTTCTAATAATGATAGAGATAATGACAATATATAACTAATAATTAGGAGATAATTTCAATATATATGTATGGCTTATTTAACAAAATTTTACTTTAAACAAACTGTAGTATTCATATTTTGTACCGTTTATTTTATATTTTTCAAATATAACTTTTATTTATAAACTTTAAAAATATAAAATGATATTACACTAATTGAAAATAAAAGCTCAACACAATCATATAAAATATAAAAACAAAAATAAAACATATTAACCTAACCAAGTAATGGATATTATATTTTTGGATAAATTATAGAAATAATTACATATATTTAAAAAAGCAACAAATTCTAAGTTTAAAATAAATTAAATAAAAAAATATTTTTTAACAGGTATAAAATATTAGATAAAGTATTAAAAAATATGATATCTTGATTTTTCTTTAAAGTAATTAATCATTAATTTTATATTTAATCATAATTAATAAATTTTATATTAATTATTATGAGTTTATAGACTCTATAGCCTTCTATGTCGACCTTCTTAATCATTTTAAGGATGGCTAAGTCACTTCACATCTCATTCACAGGTTGGCCTCCTCTGATTTTATAGAATTTGGAGAAAAGTAAGATGTGAAGGAAGAGTTGAAAGAGCTTAAGAAGACAATTGAATCTATCAATGATGTGCTCCTTGATGCTGACCACAAACAAGAACAAGTTCGTGTGCGAAATTGGATAATGCACTTCAAAGAAGTACTTCATCGCGCAGATGACTTGTTGGATGACCTTGCCATCGATTTATGCGACACAAATTGGATGCAGGACATGAAAAACAAGTAAACAAGGCACTTTATTCCTTTTCATCTTCAAATCGAATTGATTTTCCCATTCAAATGACTGAAGAAATTAAAAAAACACGAGAAAGTTTTGATGCTGTAGTAGAAGACATGTATAAATTGAATTTATGCCCACGATCTATTGTGGTCAAGCAAACTGACAGTGGATGGAGAGAAACATGTTCTTTTGTGTTAGAGACAGATATCATTGGAAGAGATGACACCAAAAAGGAGATTATTAGTCTGTTGAGACATCCTCATGAAAACCAAAAAGTTTCCGTGGTTGCCATTGTTGGCCTTGGTGGTTTGGGGAAGACAGCTCTTGCACAATTGGTGTATAATGACTTGGAATTGAAGAATTCTTTTGAAAAGCGAATGTAGGTGTGCGTATCTGATAACTTTGACGTGAAAACTATTCTGAAAAAAATGTTACAGTCAGTTACTCGTTGCCAAATAGCAGACGGATCATCATTAGACTATTTGCAAGAAGAGCTTCGTGAAAATTTAAGTGGTAAGAAATATTTGTTGGTCCTGGATGACATTTGGAATGAGAGGCATGACAAATGGGATGAGTTGAGAAAGTACTTGATGTGTGGCGCTCAAGATAGCAAGATTTTAGTGACAACTCGAAGTGAAAATGTAGCAAATGCAATGACTGTTAGCACTTCCTATCCTTTGAAAGGTTTGACTGATGAAGCATCTTGGAGGTTATTGAAGAACATTGCATTTGAGGATGATTCCAAAATGAATCAAAACCTAGAATCAATAGGGAAAGAAATAGCCAAAAAATGTAAAGGGGTTCCATTGGCAGTTAGAGCGCTGGGAGGCCTGTTACGAGGACAAAATGAACAAAGTGAATGGGAGAAGGTTTTACGTGGCGACTTTTGGAAATTATGTGAAGAGCAAATTAGTATCATGCCAATTCTAAAACTTGAACCCGGAAATGAGACAATGTTTTGCTTACTGCTCTTTATATCCCAAAGATTCTAGAATTTTAAAGAATGAGTTGATTCAGTTATGGATGGCACAGGGTTACCTTATATGTTCAACTAAAGAGCAGCACGTGGAAGAGATTGGTAACCAATTTGTAAAGATTTTTTTGATGAACTCAATTTTTCAAGATGCAAAGAATGATGAATATGGTGTGATCATTAGTTTCAAAATGCACGATTTAATGCATGATCTTTCAATACTTGTTGCTGGCAATGATTGCTGTTACTTGGACAGTACAGCGGAAAAAGTTGAAAGCAGTCCAGTACACGTATCACTGGAATCTTGTGAGGCCATTCATTTGTTGAAATCATTAGATCCGAGCAGGCTGCGAACTTTGATTTTGCCAAATGTCTTTCAAGAGGAAGAATATTTGTCGGTTATTACGAACTTCAAATACTTACGTGTCTTGAAGATGCAGCAATTTTGCGCTTTTGATCTCTCGGATTCCATTGAAAATCTGAAGCATTTAAGATACCTTGCTTTAGGACAAGAAACAAGTGTTTCCAAATCTATGAGCAATCTTATTTTCCTGCAAACATTAAAATTAAAGAATTACGATGAAAAATCATTTTTTGAAGTGGTCACAAAATTAGTCAATCTGAGATGGCTTGACTATGGCTCCTTGAGTGAGATGGCATTTGGATGGGGAAAATTTGTTAGATTTTAATCAATTATGTAATTTCTCACAATAATATATAGTTCTTACACAATGAAGGGTTTAGAGAATATTCCTCTTTGATGTTCTCTCTCTGAAGTTGTTGAGTCCTTGTTATTTTTCTAAACTCTTTCTTTCTCTTTTAACTCCTCTTTGATAGTTGAGAGAAAGTTTCTTTTTGCAATGACCATGAAATTGTGAAAGAAATAGTATGAATAATAGAGAATATCATAACCTGTGTTTGGTAACAGCTCTTTTATCTGAAAGGAGAGGAGAGAGTTTCCTTATAATTGTATTTACAATCATACTCTGAATGACTCTATATTTTATATTTAACCATCATCACATTAAATCATTAATTAGAGTCATGCTATAAATTACATAGACCTTCATAATAAGAATATTAAAATAATCTAACAATCTCCTACTTAGCTTATGTGACGACTTAAGGGTTCAATGAACTGTAAGTGCGCATATCATTGACAATATCATCTTTCATTTATTTGAATTGATCGGATCATGGCAGTCACAAGTCATTCAACGACATGATTCCTTTCAAGTATCACAAAATCAGCTCAAATCAAAATAGCTTTAATTAGTCATACTACATACTGCAACTCAAATGTGTTTTTAACACTCAATTTGTTATCAAACTTCAACCATACATGTTTATTAACACAATTTAAACAACGAATAAACAAGTAAAAACAATATTTTTATTGAATTTCTAAAAATTATCTACAATAATATGAGCAAACCAATCTATACACATATACGTGAATTACACAATCATACTAACAAGAACTTGTATATAATGTCCATTCTTCCAACATAGGTAGAAAACGTTTTAGGGGGCATTAGTAGATTTGCTATCATCATAACAGTACCAATATGCTCATTAGACATTTTCTATTTCCGCTCTTCTTTTTTCACTTATAAGTTTTTAAGTCTATATATTTTTCTCTCCTTGAATACTTATCATTCTTATAGAAGAAGACCGTTGCAGAATTATCCCAGTACATTCTTAGCGACCTTTCTATACTATCAACAATATTAAGCCCTAAGACAAAGTTCCACAGCTACAAAATATGAACAGTAGCCTCAAAGCATGCCACGAATTCCGCTTTCATGGTAGACGTAGTAATAATGGACTCCTTTCTTCTCTTCCATGAAATTGCACCTCCAGCCAATAAGAAGTTGTAGTCAAAGGTCGATTTCCTTCAGTCTATACATCCGATATAGTTTGAATTCGAGTAGCCAACTACTTTCAAGTGACTAGATCTTCTATAAGTAAGCTTGTACTCTTTGGTGCCTTGTAAATACCTAAGGACTTTCTTTGCAGCCTTCTAGTGGTTCATTCTGGGATTACATTTATCACACCCCAAAATTTCCTTACTTCTAAGTTAATTACTAATTGTGTCAATATAAATAAATTAGAATTAGATCATATATATATATAGTTAGGAATTAAAACATACTTAGTCGAATTTACTCGAAAAATAAACGAATTAAGAAAAAACCAGGTAACGAATTATAGTGTAATCCAATTTTAATAAGAATAATTACCTAAAAATTTTGTTTTTATAATTTTATACCATCTTAATTATGTATTACAAAATTTATAATCAATTGAGAGAGAATAAAAATAGAAAATTAAAAATAAGTTACAACATTGGCCAAAAAGCCCAAAATACCCCTAGAATAAGCCTAGAATGAACCCAAGTTGGATAAGGAAATGACAATGAAATATTCTGAAATTTTTATGGCAAATTATTGGGCCAAATGAGGTTGTATTCGTTCAAGAACCAGATCCAAACCTCAAATAGAAAATTCAAACCAATTTTTGCAAATTTAGCACTCAAAGTGGTGTGAAAAGGAAATGGGCCAAAACTTCCAATTTTGTAATCCTATCTTACCCAACCCAATTGGCACGGTTTTGACACGAAAAATAGACTAAATTTATCAATAATTGGGCAAAGTATCAGCTGAAGTGAAGGAAGCCAATAAGAAATAAGACTTGGTTTACTAAAATTGCTTGATGATAACATAGGGTCAATGGTTCAATCCCTAACCAAGGAGCCTAACCAAATGCCAACCAAACTCAACCAAAAATAGTTTTATATGAGGGGGAAAATCTGAAATTAGAAACCAAGAACTAAAGACAAACTAAAAAGGAAAACTTAGGCCAACTAGATGACATCACAAGGGTCCAAAATATCCACTTTGAGCATGATTATTGGAGACCACTTTTCACTACAATAAAATCCGAATTTGAGGAAGGCTCCAACAGCAAAGTTACTCCACTTTAACCCCTCTAAATTGTTATGAACTCTCTGTTCCATAAAAACTAAGAAAAAAATTAAAAAGCATTCCCCAAATACAAGGCCTAAATTCATGTGTAAATGGAGCAAATTTGAAGACTTAGTCAAAATTCCTGAATCCAACCAAACCAAACTCTTCCACACACCTGATCACATCCAACACATGCCAAAAATAAACCCCACCACTCATCCATGTCACTCTCCAAGCCAACAAAGTAGGAAAAACTCCAAAAACACCAAATAACCCCACCACCAAATAAGCAAAAGAACTTCAACATTTGAGGACCTTTTTGGACAAACTCAAAGCTGACTTGGAAGGGCAGTAAAGAGGCTGAAACCAGACCAAGAAAAAGAAGAGGAAGAGGAGATTAACACACCCCTTGTAACCTCACCTAAAAAGGCAAAGACAACATCAAGTAAAGGAGGGGAATATAGTTCATAAATTAGGGAAATACTTTTGCTAATAAATTTTGAGTCAAGGGGAACCCTTAACCCTTTATATTGAATGAAAATTTTGTGGGTCTAATTGATATATGAAAACAAAATTTACTTGCACAAGAAAATCATTAAAAACAACGAAAACAGAAAATTCTGCAGAAAAATCTTAACCAACTGTAAGTGGGTATTTTGAGGGAACTTTATTGATGACTTTGCTTGTTATGTGTTATTATTATGATATTATGCTGATTATATGTTAATCCATGCCTTAAAATTGATAAAGGATTTTGTTAAAGTTTTATGTAAATAATCAGGAGTTTTCTATCAGAAATCTCTATAAATATTCTTTTAATGCATGATCTGAGTTCTAAATTTTTGGTTGAGTTTTATATGGCATAAATACTATAAACTTAGTAAAAATTTCATGATTAGGCTTTGGTAGAACATAAAAAGGAATTTTCATAAATTTTTAAGAAGATTTACAGTTTTGAGATAGTTATAACTGCTTTTGTGTTGATTTTTTTTTTTAATTTTTAAAAAATCACAAAAATTTCCTAAGATATTAGCTTCTATTATTATAATATTATTGATATTTTGGATGTATCTTGACTTCAAATAATATTCTAAATTTATTTTTAAAGATTTTGAATGAAAGGGTAAAAGGAAAATGATTTAAAAATAAAAAAAATACTAGGAAAAAAACTCTGGACTTTTGGAAAATTCTTGAAACCTCTAAAGTATATGAATCATATGAATTTGACCAAGATATGGAATTAAGTTTGAAGAATTGAATCTTTAAATGAGAAAATACTATGATTGGACCATAAATACACTTCAAAAAGTGTAAAATAATTAATCATGAGTAGTAGGACCAAAGGAATGTTTTTGACCATATTGAGACCTGGAAAATGACTTAGAGGCAAGGGAAAAACGTGCTGGACAACCTGATTTCTTCAAGTTTTGGAAAAAGGACCTAATTGCAATTAACATAAAGTAAAAGGACTAAACTACAAATAATGTAACATATGATAAAACCTTTGCAAAAATTTTTGTTTTTATTTTATTCATGTATATAGTTAAATTTTGAAACTTTTCCCACTGGTTTTACTTTATTTGGATTTAAATTGAATTAGTTATGATTTTTCAAAGTTCTACTACATGAAAACAATATTATAGGATCAGTATGTCTTGATTCAATTTTGTTTTGATATCTGTTTCTGGCATTATTTTATATTTATTTTTTATGAAAATATACTTATTATTGGAACGTTTCTCAGTGGTTTTACTTGATTTGGATTTGAAACAAAATAGATATGAATTTCAGAATATTATGATGTGTGTAAATAATTCCTGAGAACAACTCACTTTAAGTTCCTTTCTTCCTAAAATTCATGCATGTTGTGATTTTATTTATATTTTTGTATAAAACTATACTTCATCAGGAAACCATAATCACTTAGTTTACTTAAATTAGAGTTAAAACAAAATACTGATGATTTTCTAAAGTTGCTGTTATATGAAATTAATTGTTTGTGCATATTGCTGAGAAACTTCATTTTGTTTTTAAGGATATATACGGTGTTATTTTATTCATATTTTTGCATGAAAATAGATACTATAGGAAAAATATCCTCACTAGTTTGATTAATTTTTTACTTAAAATAAAATATTTATGATTTTTATATTTAACTGATTTTGAGAAGTGAGTTAATGTGAGCAACTGAGAATAATTAGGACTAGTTTTGAGATATGAAAGTGATGAATTTTTACTTGTATTTTTCTGTGAAACTATATAAACAAAGTGAAAGGATGCCACTAATTTCATGAATTTTGGTGGTGAAATGAATAACTTATGATGTTTTTAATATCCAGTTGTAGAATTATGCTAACCTGTGACATGTACTGATAAATTAAAGTACGAATTAATGTATGTAAACATTTTGAATTTGAAAGTATTTTTACTTCAAATTAGACATAATATTAAGAATAATATCACTGATCTCATGTGTTTTGGAATAGAATTGAATTTATTACAAATTTTACAATTTACTAGATTCTAAAAGCGGCATCATGTGAGTAGTAGAAAAAAACTAAGTTAAGTGTTACATTTTGTCTAAAAATTATTTACTTGCATATTTTTGTTGGAAAGTAGACACTTAAAGAAAGAAAACCTAGGTGATTTCATAATTTTTATATTTGTATTGAATTAGTTATGAATTTTACAAATTGATGCATGAAATCTGGAAAAATCCG